TATGCTGTGTCTTATAGTGCTGTCGTGTAGCAGCATGGGCATGCCCCTTTGTGCACCTGCCATGTCCAAGCACTGTCATGTGGCAGACAAGGAGTATATATTCACCACTGTGGACGTCTCAGTGCTACCACAAGGGCACACAGGCAGCCTCTTCATAGGTTTGCTGTGTCCCAGTGCCACCACATGGTGCCAGTTGGCACACCTTTTTGCACCCATGTCATTTCCCAGCAGAGCCACATGGCAGTGTCTGCATGCCTGCTTGCATACCTACCATGATGCCCCAGCATTGTTATGTGGTAGTCTGGACACACCTGTTTGCACAGCTGACCTGTCCCAGTACCATCACACGGTGACCTGGTACTCCTGTTCACACAGAAGCTGTGTCACAGCACTGCAATATGGTGGTGTAGGCATGACTCTTCACATGCCTGCCATGTTCCAGTGCCATCATGTAGCGTTTTGGTCATGGCTGCTTGCATGTATGCTGTGTCTTGCAACCACGACACGGCAGTGTGGGCACTTTCTTTTGCATGCCTGCAGAGTTCCAGTGTTGCTAGAGTCCCAATGATGGCCTGGGCACGTCTATTTGCACATCTGCTGTGTGCAAATAGACATGACAGCCTTAGCTCACCTTTTCGTATGTGTGTTGTCTCCCAGCACCACTTGTGAACCTGCCTGGTCACTCACAAGTTGTGTCCCAGCATCATCATTTGATGCCAGAGGCTTGTCTGTTCACATGCCTGCCATATTTCAGCAATGCCACATGGTGGTCTGGGCATGACTGTTTGCAACTGTACCAAGTCACTGTGTGTAAGTGTGTCATGTCCTAGCACCACCACTTGGTGCTGCAGGAAATCCTATCAACATGCCTGCTGTGTCTGACTGTTGTCATGTGGTGACCTGGCTATGACTCTTCACATGCTTGCCAAGTGCCAGTGCTGCCATTGGTGGAAAGGGTAAGCCCATTTACACAATTCCCATGTCCCAGTACCACAGCATGGCTATCTGGGCATGTTTGTTCACACACTTGTCATGTCCCAGAACAAACACATGACAGCGAGGGCATGCCTGTTAGCAGCCGTGCCATGTCTCATTGTGGCCTGTGCAGGCTTGTTTACATGCCTGCATGTCTTATAGTAGCCACAAGGCAGCCTGGACAAGCCTGTTTGCATGCTTGCTTTATGCTAGTACCAAAGGATGGTGACTGGGCTTGCCTGTTTGAATGCATTCTTTGTTCCAGTACCAACATGTGGCAGCCTGCAAATGCCTGTTTGCATGCTTGTTGTGTCCCAACATCACCCTGGGACAGCACAGGCTCGTGTTTTTATATGTGAGTTGTGTCCCAGCTCTGCTGAGAGGCAGTGTGGGCAACTGTGCCATGCAACTGTGCCATGTCCTAGTGCTACCAAGCTGAGGGACCCACTTGTCATGCTTGATATGCTTGCCATGTCCCAGTGTAGTCACAGGTGAAAACAAGCTCACCTGTTTGCACCTCTGCTGTGTCCCAGCACCACCAAGTGGCAGCCTGGGAACACCTCTTCACAAGCCTACTAAATCCCAGTTTTGCCATGAGACAGTCTCAAGATGTCTGCTTGCATACCTGTTGTGTCCTTGCACTACCACGTGGTGGCCTTGGTACACCCAGTTGCACAATTCTGTGTCCCAGTGCTGCCACATGGCACCATGGACATGTCTATTTGTATGTCTGAAGTGCTGCTGTGCCCTGCATAGTGGCTTGAGCATGCATGCTCACACACCTGCCATTTGCTGGAGCCATCACCTGGCACCGACCATATTCTTGTTCAAACCCCTGCCATGTTCCAGAAAGGACACATTGTGGTGCTCATATGGCTGTTTGTATGACTGCCATTTCACAGCACCACCACTTGGTGGCCAGGATATATCTCTTCTATCAGGTTCAGTGTAACTGGATATATGTTGAGAACTTTGATCTGTTTGGACTTGAGTTTATGCAGGGTAATATATATGGATCTATTTGCATTCTACTACATGCTGACTTCGAGTCATGTCAGCACCATTTGCTGAAGATGCTTTCTTTTATCCATTGTATACTTTTGGCTTCTTTGTCAAAAGTCAGATGTCCCTAGGAGTGTGGATTTATGTCTGGGTTTGTGGGCGCCATGGGCCCTGGCCCCCGACTGTGAGTGGCTGCGGCCTTGCTTGCTGACCTTGATCAGATGTCCTCCCTATTCAGATTCCCTGCTGGTATCCACCCTTCTGAATGCTTAAGGGAAGTTCCTTGTTTGTGTATCCTGCATATTGGGCGTTAACAACTTATTCTTACATGCAAGATGTAGAACATTGGGTCTAGAATGTAGACCATTGGTAGTGAACTTCTGCCCTCTGGGGATCCTCCATTTGTGCTGTAAGCCTGTATTTAAGGTTTCTTCCCTCTTTCAATAAACGGCATTTGGCATTCAGCCATGGCAAATGACTCGCTGTCTCTTGTCTCTATTTTTAATCCGCAGCCCTTCGCTCAGACATGGTAAATGGGTATTGGTAATGCTGGCGTTACCGCTACATGGGTCTTCGATTTGATGCCATTGATTCATCTGTTTGTTTTATGTCAATACCACACTTTTTAAAAAATGACTATAGTTCTGTAGTAGAGCTTGAAATTAGGGATAGTGATACCAGAAGTTCCTGTATGGTACAGGATTGTTTTAGCTATCCTGTTTTTTTTTTTTTTCATATGAAGTTGAATATTGCTCTTTCAAGGTCTGTGAAGAATTGTGTTGGAATTTTTATGGGGATTGCATTGAATGTGTAGATTGCTTAGGAGTTATTGGTCTATTTAAATTGTTTATCTCATCTTGACTTAATTTTGTTATGTGGTTCCTATCAAGAAATCTGTCCATTTCGTTTAGATTTTCCAATTTTGCGGAGTACAGGTTTTGAAATATGATCTAATGATTCTCAGGATTTCCTCAGTGTTATGTCCCCCTTTTCATTTCTGACTTTTTCAATTGGATGTTCTCTCTCTGCCTTTTAGTTAGTTTCGGTAAGGGTTTGTCTGTCTTGTTGATTTCCTCAAAGAAACAATCTTTGTTTCATTGATTCATTGTACTGCTCTTTTTGTTTCTATTTTATTGATTTCAGCCCACTATTTGATTATTTTTTAGTATCTATTTCTTTTGGGGATGTTTAGTTTTATTCTAGAGCTTCCAGTTGTGTTGTTAAGTCGATAGTGTGAGATTTCTCCAAATTGTTTATGTAGGCACTTAGTGATATTAACTTTCCTCTTAGCACTGCTTTCATAGTGCCCCAAAAGTTTGGGTATGTTGTCCATTCATTTTCATTGAATTCTAGGAAGTCATTAATTTTTTCTTTATTTCTTCATTGACCCATTAATAATTCAGTTGAGAGTTGTTCATTTTCCACGCTTTTGTAGGCTCTCTGTAGTTTCTTTTGTTGTTTAATTCCAGCTTTAACCAATGGCGATCTGTTAAGATACAAGGGATTATTCCAGTCATTTTGTATCTGTTGAGATTTGTTTTGTGACTGAGTATGTGGTCAATTTTAGAGAAGGTTCCATGAGGTACTGAGAAGAAGGTATATTCTTTCGTGTTTGGGTGAAATGTTCTGTAGATGTCTGTTAGGTCCATTTGAGTCATAACATTTGTTAGCTCCCTTATTTCTCTGTTTAGTTTCTGTCTGGAAGACCTATCCATTGGTGAGAGTGTGGTGTTGTAGTCTCCCACCATAAATGTATGTGGTTCAATGTGTGATTTAAGCTTTAGTAATGTTTCTTTTACAAATGTGGGTACCCTTGTATTTGGGGCATAGATGTTCATAATTGAGACTTCATCTTGATGGATTTTTCCTTTGATGAATATGAAATGTGTTGTGTCTGCATGTGTGTTTGAGTGTGCACATGTCTATTTTAGTATGGGAGTCTGATAGTATGTAAAAATGTACAAGAGTTTGTCAGTGTTTCAATTCATGCATGTGTGAGTATTTGAGTGTATGACTACGTACATGAATATTTTTGTGGGTTAGTTTTAGTGTTTGATTATAAGCAAGTTTGTTTCTTTGACTGAGAGTGTGAGTGCATGCATGTATGAATGTATGTTGTGTGATCTGTGCATGTAGGATTTTGTAAGGGTGTTCAAGAGTGTGTGAATTTGTAATAATTTGAGATTAGGTGAGTATGTTTGAAAGGCATGTATGTGAGCATGTATGTGTGTCAGTGTCAGTATGAGTAAAAAAAAGAGCAAGTGAGTGTACAAGAGTATGCCAAGAGGGTATGTATGATTGTGTTGTGAGTATGTATATAAGTCAATGAGTGTAGAAAGGTGCACTGGGTCAGAAAAGTGCAAGGGTGCGTGTTTATGTCAGTGTGCAAATGTTTATAAATGTGTGGATATGTGAGTATGTAAGAGTATGTTAGAGTGTGAAAGAATATGAGAACATATGACTTTGAGTGGTTTTAACCGAGTGTGGATGTATGAAAATGTGTGTGAGCGTATTTGATTGCATGCAAGGTGTGAGAGTCTGTGACTGTAAAAGTGTGTATAATTAACCACCAATATTTGTGATTATATTTGCATGACTGTGTGGGTGTTCAACTATGTGTAAGCATATGACTGGGTGTCAGTGTGAGAAATGTATGTGTATGTGATGCAATGCTATGCAAGTGTTGGAAAGTGAGTGTATGAATGTATATATGTGATTCTGTGTGAAAGAGTATGTGCAAGACTTTCAAATATGCATGCATGCATAAGAGTTTGTGTGTGTGAAGATTGTGCATGTGTGTTTGACTGAAAGAATGTATAAACATGTGCAGTAGTGAGTATGTGAGACATTGTGTATAAGAGTTTGTGTTTGGATATTTGTGAGTGTTTGAGTGTATCTATGAGTAAGGGGTAGGGCTCCCATTAGGAATAGGGATAGGGTAGTACTGGGTAGGGTTTATAGTTAGGTGTATGTTTAGAAAAAGCTTATGTTTTTATTTATTTATTTATTTTATTTTATTTTTTTGAGCTCAGTTCAAGTGTAGAAACCTTCATAGTGACAAGTTCAGTTCTAAAGCCTTTTCATCATTGCTCAGAAATGACCACAGGCCCCACAGACATACCCCTTCCCTCACCATCCTTACCACCCCCAACACACATCCTTTCTCTCACCATACACAGACCCCAATTGTTTTAAGCTATTTTGTAGTTTTGCTTCTCAGAACTATAGAGATCATGCACCAAGCAGACCAAAATGTCTTCTGATGCTCAGATTTGGCTAAAAGCCAAATATTAACTTCAGAGTTATGGTTAGGATTAGGAATACAGATGTTGTTGTGGTTAGATAAAAGATTAGGGTAATTCTGAGAGTCATTGTAGTTCTAGGGCTAGGGTAAGAGTAAAGGTCAGACTTAGGTCTAGCCTTCTTTTAAGGTTAAGGCTAGGCTTAGTAATATTGTTAGGCCTGGGTGAGGGTTAGGTTAAATGCTAAGATTTGAAAAAATGTTCAGGTTAGAGTTAGGGATGGTTGTGTGTGTATGTGTGTGTGTGTGTGTGTGTGTGTGTGAGAGAGAGAGAGAGAGAGAGAGAGAGAGAGAGAGAGAGACAGAGACAGAGACAGAGAGACAGAGAGAGACAGAGACAGAGAGAGACAGAGAGAGTGACAGAGAGAGACAGAGAGAAAGAGGGAGGGGGAGGGAGGGAGAAAGGAAGGAAGGGAGGGGAAGAGAGAGATTGATTGATTGATTGATTGATTGTGGGTCAAGGTATGTGATTTTTTGTTACTATGCATGTCTTTGGTGTGTGTGTGTGTCTATGTATGGTAAGGTTTAGGGTTAGTTTTAAGAATCAGGTTAGGGCGGTGGTGGCGCACGCCTTTAATCCCAGCACTCGGGAGGCAGAGGCAGGCGGATCTCTGTGAGTTCGCGGCCAGCCTGGGCTACCAAGTGAGCTCTAGGAAAGGCGCAAAGCTACGCAGAGAAACCCTGTCTCGGAAAAACCAAAAAAAAAAAAAAAAGAATCAGGTTAGAGAAAGGGTCCAGAAGGATTAGAGTTTAGGTTACTGCTACAATTCAGTTTATGGTTAGGTTTGGGGTTAAGGTTAAATTTAAGAATATGTTTAGAGTTAGGATCAGGGTTGGGGCTAGGATTAAGGTTAGGGTTAATGCTATGAAATAGTTTTAATGTTTAGAGTTAGGAATAGGATTAGGGTTAGGTTAGGCTTAGAGTCTAGTGTTGAGGTTTAGATTAAGTTTAGGATTAGTTTTAGGATTAGAGATAGGGCTGTGATATTTTAATGGTCAGGGATAGATTTAGGGTTAGTGTTCTTATAAGCATTAGTGTTAGGGTTAGATGTTGGGTTGTAGTCAGGATTAGGTTTGGGATTAAGGTTAGGTTTAGGGCTAGAATATTGTTATGGTTAGGATAGATTTTTGGATTGTGGTTATTAGCATTAGCATGAGGTTTGGACACTGGGGTATGGTAGGGTTATAAGTAGGCTCATTTTAAGATTAGGATTAAAGTTTTGGGTAGAGAAAATGTGAAATTTAGGGTTACCATTAGGATTAGCAGTTCGTGTTAGGCTTATTATTTTAACATGGTTAGAGATTGGGTTAGTGTTATGGGTATGTTCATGTTATAATTAGGGTTAATACTAGGTCTAACTATAATGCTTGAGGTAAGTAAGGGTTCGTGTAACAGATAGGGGTAGGGTTAATATTAATTTTTTGCTATTATTAGGATTATGGTTAGAATTCACTATGCTGTTAAGGCTATGATTAGCTGGAGGGATAGGAACAAGGTTAGTTTTAGGAATATGAATGGGCTGATGGTTAGGGTTAGGATTAGGATTAGCTTTAAGACTAGACTAGTATTAGAGTTATATTTAGGGTTGGCATTAGGGATATATTCAAGTTTACGTATAGGGTTGTACTTACTGTTACTAACATGGTTATGGTTAGGGAAATGGTTGTTAATATTCATCTGTAACATTTAATTTAAAATTTTCTCCTCTACAATTTATAATTTTGGGTCAAATATATACTACAAGCATTGTAGTGAATTTCTATGTGAGTCCTCTTTTCTTTTTAGTGCTGAAAGTATATTCTGTACTTAGGGCTTCACCCATGCTAGGTAAGTCCTCTATCACTGAACTAACTATACCCGGATCGTATGATTGTTGAAGAGTGGGAGTGCTGTGATTGCAAAGCAGTAATTCTACTTTGTTTCAGTTTGTCACGAATACAAAGTAACATCCTAGAAGAGCAGCTGAAAGAAAGTAACTAGTGAGTACAGAGTTCCCAGAATAGTATTAGATGATTTCTTTTGCTATGGCGTGCTTTTTCAAAACATCCTGTTTCACCGTCAAAAGATGCGTATTTTTTATATGGATGAAGCATTTGGTAACCACTTAACCAGGAAGCACTATAATTACATGGCCACCATTGTAAGCTATAGCCTGAATTGCCGCTTGCATAACTGTAACCTCAAACCATGTTATAAAATTTAGGTTGACTGAACAGAGGTTAGATTTGATTCACATCAGCAAAATTACAGTAGACCTAAACAAGAACATTGAATTTTTAACTACTTCCAAACAATGTAGCTGTCACATTTTATGTAAACTAACATTGCTTTCATAACATGTTCTCCATCCTGAAGTGTATTCTCCCCAGAAATTCAATGATCAGAATAATAATTCTGTGATTTACTAGAATCAAACTGATGGATACTAGCTGGAGAAGTTGCCAGAATTTGCAAGGTGTGTTTTAATATGTAGTACCCACAGATAATATCTCTTTATCCTATTAAGAGTATTCTATAACCATGAAAATGACCTTGGTGCCTTTTCTAAAGAGATATGTGCAGTAACGAAGGATATAGAATAGGGATATATGGTTCCAACCAATCCTCTATTAGTTATTAACTGATTCTTGGTTCCTTCTCTCATTAGTGAAGGCTGTGAGGACCCATATTGGTGACAAACATCCTCTAATGCCTGGGGCTTAGCCAAGAACAACCTTCTGCATACTTTCTTTTGTTTTTTGTGACCTTGGAACACAACCAAAGTATCACTGACCTAGGTATTACCCACCACCATGCCACCATTCCAATTCCCAGTAGATAAAAGACACAATGGCCAAGAGATGATTCAAATCAGCTTTACTAATGGATGGATCAATGCAGCTGAAGTCTGAGGCTAAGTGGTGTTTCTTTCTTCCTCTCTGAAGTGATGACAGCTGAGCCCTTTTGGCTGGCTCACAAATTTATCCACCCAGTCAGAGAGAGAGGTTGGAATGTGGAGAACCGATATTGGATGGGTCCACCATGTGCAGGTCCTGCTGAGTCTGTTTATGGCATAGAGACTGGAAGTCCAAAAGCAGGTCCAAGACAGACAGGAAAAGAGAGAGAAGTAGGAGGATATGTAAGTAGGGACCTTCAGGACATTATCTCCCTCAAGTAGAGAAAGTCAGCCCAAAGATGCTCAAGTCCCATGAACCACAACCATGTCTGAAGTCACCCCATAGGCAAAAGCATCTCATTAATACTTGCTCTTTAGGGAAAGTTGTGAGAGAGTCTTCTTCTATTTGACTCAGCAGAAAATAACGGATAAAAAGGAAAAGTAGATGTGAACTTGGGTCAGAAACTCAAAGTACTGCACCATAAATAAGTGGTAAAGTGCTATATTCTTGAAGCCCTTAGGCTCAACAAACACTTATTCAACCTGCCTCCAAGAAAATATGCCCCATCCATCCAATTTCCCCATATCCAACCCTATCTTTGAAACACTAGACAAAGCATACACATTTTATTACAAATGTCCCACTGTAGTAAGAAATTTCAGATTTCTTAATGTTGATTCAAGGCTTAGAGCTGATTATCAAAACTATTTCCTCTTCATTTAGGAACAGAAGAAGAATATTTCCCTTTCCTCATCTAGTGACATTATTGAGTGATGCTCAGTGTAATTTAAAAAAGAAAAGGCATGCATTGTTTCTAAGCCCTTGCCTATGTATGAATCTCTAAATGTCAATGGGTGTTAATACCTTCACGGACACTGAAAAGAGCACCCATAAGAGCTGCCAGAACCAGGACTGTAAGTTCCTAAGTCATGCAGACTTTGAGTATTAAGCTCTGAACTCTTTTCTGTCCTGGACTTTGGACTCTGTCCTTCTCAGGACAGTTGAGTAAGAAAAAAACATATTCAGGAAACAACCTCAACAAGGGGCTGATCCTGCTTCACATATACAGTATTACTTCTTCAGCTGTGTGAAGAGTGGTGCTGAACTCAGGCCAAAATTCATCTGAAGATTTGTTACAGCAATGGAGTACACACCAGAAGGACAGCAAAAGTACAATAATAAAATTCTTTCAAGCCTGTGACAGAGGGAGGAATTGCATGGCAAGCATAGAAGAGTTAAGTCTGATGCACCTCTCTGGAACATGGACTCCTTCTTTTAGACAGTGGTGATAGTTCCTAATTTCTAACACTTTGAAATCATCTTTCCTATTTTTTCAGCTTATTTTCTATGTCTCATTTTTTATTATTTTTTCATACAATGTATGTTGATCATATCTTTTTCTCTTCCTCCAACTTTTCCCAAATCTTGCTCATCTCCCTATCTACCAGCTATATTCATTCATTCATTCATTCATTCATTCATTCATTTTCTCTCTCTCTGTCTCTCAAAGAAAACAAAAACAAAAGTCACAACAAACAAGCAAACAAGACAAAGAAAAATCAAAAACCAAAATAAAACAAAAACTATGAGTCCATTTTTTGTTGTACATCTACTCCTGGGCATGGGGCCTTTTTTGGAGTATGGTTCATTTACCTAGTAACACTCCACTGTAGAAAACTGATTTTCCCTTTCTTAGCAGGTGTTGGTTAGGGGTGGAACTCTGTGTACACTTCTCAGTGCTAAGATCTTGTTTGGTTTGAATCTATGCAGGTCTTGTGCATGCTTCCAAGTCTCTGAGTTTATGGGTGTATTGATCTTGTTGTGTTTTGAAGATGCTATTTTCTTGGAGTCACATACCTCCTCTGGCTCTTATAGTCTAGGTACCCCCTCTTCTGCACATATCTCTGATCCTTT